AATCAGTTCGACCGAGTCCTGCAGTGTTTCCAAAAAACGACGGCACAAATGATGCGCCTGACCTATTAATATTTTCACCGTAACGAGCTCGAGTGGCAGGTAAGTAGTATGATGTGTAATGTCATCTCGCATTGATCAGCCGCTGACAGGCAGGCCGGCGGCGGAAGAGAACCATCCAGAAAACCGTGCATATACATCTTGGAGGAACTAGATCTTCTCGGCATTCCCTTCTTCTCCCCAGTTTGCCGATTTGGGTCGCTTGGGTCGGACACCTGTCCTGCAAGCAGAGACACGGCAAGGCCCTCTATAATCACTTGATAATCACCACTTCTATGGCACGTCACATTTTCCTTACCCGGTTTTTGCAAAAGAGTCGCTATCTGCCCGGATTACAGCTTACACACGGAGCATTTTGCCAACCTCAGCCTAACATCACTACGCGCGTCTTAGTTGTATCACTCACTGGAGCTGTTGTAGATTCCGGACTATTCTTTCCCATTATGCCGTACTTTATAACGCGAAACCCACGGCCTGTCCGAGTTCACACCGGGGGCAGCCAGCGATGCATGTGAACACCATATGCTTTAAATGCATGCTGGTTGCATGTGGAAGCAAAGCTACAAAGCAATGTTTAGCAGACTAAGGGCGGCTTTGTCGCATGCTTTGTTCTCTGGTGCAGGGAAACAAAGCATGCGACAAAGCCCCCCTTTGTTTCCTAATTGCACCTTTGTGGGCTTCATTCCAACTGCAAACTCCATGCATTTAAAGCACCTGGTTTTCATATGCCTCGTTGGTTGCCCCTGGTGTCACCGTCAACGTCATCCTGTCATGGGCCTGAATTTGATTACGATGGACTACCAGTCTCTCCTAGTGCGCCCGCCTTTGAGTTCGCATATAAAACTCTGATCTTTTGACTCATAGCCCCGAATCCATGCATTTTACCGCCAGCGCAGTGAGTATCATCGCATCCACCCATACATGCCATTCATGTAGCCTTCTACGCAGATCTTGAGCCTCTTCTTCCTCCCCATCGCATGGGCGGATCCTGTCGAATTCATCTGCACCGGGGACCCTACCTACCCGGGAGGATATGAAGAAAGCTGCCCCCCCTGGCCCCGTATTTTTGTGACATGATCAGTGGTACCACCGTAGGCTCTTTCTTTTGTCGCAACTGCATGCGCTGATCTCCCGTGTTCGTCATTATTCCCCAGTTCTCGGCAGACGGCAAGATTGAATCAACCGGCTGCTGGCAGGGAACTCCAGAAAGTCCGGGCCTTGCATGTGATTATTAGAAGCTGTTCACTCTGCCTGCACATTTTCATTTCATAAAGGTGCATTCTACGCATTGAATGTCGAGACCACCGCTACTACCCTCACCGGTCCCGAGAATTGCACCACTGCATTGGACTTCATCGCCGCCGAATGTTTTGAGGTGCGTGGGTAGTTGGTATGATGGCTGTATTTACATGGCCGTATAGAATGGTTGGGCGTCATTCAACGGAGATAGCTTCTCGTATGGCTTTTGGTCAGTCCCTTCTGACACGCCATGCAATTTTACGGTGTAAATGCTAGCTTTTTTCCATCTGCAATTATACTTGATTCAGAGAGTCAGTGGCTACTTGAATATCAGTAATAAAAAATTGAGGAAAGAACTAGCGGTGATGTAGGCCACAAGTGATTAAATCCAAGCGGCAGCAGACATTCATAAATTGAAACGCCAGGCTTCAAACCCGAAACTATCCGTATGGGATAGCTGTTTGCCATTCACTACGTCTGATTTGGAGGAGAGCAATTCAGGTCTGAAACACGGGAGCATAAGTTGAATTGAGGCTCTCTGTAAGAAAGCAGAGTTAATTGAACCGTTGGTACCGTGTAGGTCCGAAGAGGCGGACAATACAATACGGTGGGGTCGAAATAAGAAACAAGCTGGCGGTTGGCCATGGGTCGGCTGTTGCATCGCACTGTGATATCAGGATCTTCAGGAAATCTAGGAAACATGTCAAGATCACATGCACGACGAGGGGATAACCCAGGAGTTACAAAACGAGTTAGACGAACTGAATCTCTCCAGAACAGCTAAAATTGTGAGGTGTTGAGGTCACCTAGTTTTCAAGTGGACGGAAGTCAGTGCACGACAAGAATAAAAGACCAACATGTTTGTCTAGCCGTTCTGACCCTCCAGACAGTGGCTTTGGCAGGAACATAGTCACCATTCTGAGGGTCTGGACAGCTGGGCAAAATTCGTGAAAGATGTTGCGTGGCAATATTGGGGGGGAACGGGCACGTCACGTTCACCAACCACTTGCACGGATGAACAGCTGGAAACCTCAGCGCTCAGCACGAATGCGGGCTGGAGGGCGAGCAGTCTCGTACCCGACATTATAGGGCAGTTCTGCGCTCCGCTCATGGCATAAATCCAATCAGGGATATCGAGATGTTGACGAGGCGGAATTTTGATGAAGCTTGATCGCGGGAGACTGCCCTATGACGTCTGGTGCAATTCGTAGGCAACGGGCGATTGAGTCACGCTTTCCTTCATTCTCGTTCACCCGCCCCCGATAACTTCAAAATTATGATTCATGTATTCCCGTGAGCTCCCTGACCATTATAGTATACATAATCACATGATTTCCATAACCTATTAATGTTTTCACTGTGACAAGCTCGAGCGCTCCACGAATTTTAGTTGAATATATATTTCTTTCCACCGGGTCATGAGTGTATAATTGCTTTCTGCTACTGTTTCTCCACCTTGCTTGTCGTTGTGTGCACGAGGATGATGCGAACCCCATAGTTTTCCGATTTTGTGTAAGTCCAAGCAGGAGCCTAAATTATGGCACATCCGCTTTGAGATGAGATGAGATGAGATTCTGTGCACGGAAATATATTGGGAGCCAATGTTGGAAGAAGGAGCCGTTCGTATGCATGATGATCAGCGCTGCATACTGTGCTGAGGGTCAAACGCTGGAAGGATTGGCAATAATCCAGGTGAGAGTATGTAGGTATAAGCACTGGTTGTGCAGGGATGCACACGTAAAGATGAAGACCCAGTTCTGCGGCGAGCTGGGGTTCGATTCCCCGCCGGTGCATTCCATGGCAGGCTGGATTTTTTTTTCTCATTCGAACTTCGGCGCGCCGCACACTTGATCTATCTTGACTCGGTCTCATAATCATTTCTCACCCTAATGAAAAACGCATGGTCATGAAATTACAGGACAAGCCCGGGGCTCCGTGAATAAACTGGTTAGAATTCGGAATATGGACCTGCGGACAGAAAAACGACAATCCTGGTGGATCCTGTTCTGAGTAGAAGCTGAGGGCACAAGCACCCATTGTGTATGGTTTCCACCCGCCGATCCCTTGGCTCCGGCGCAAAAGATGGATTGGCAAGGTGGGGATCGTGCGATTCGCCGTTGGTGCCTCAGTTCCCAACCACCTTTTCCCTGTGATTCGGGCGTCGAGCGTAGGCCGTTAACTGTGGTTTGAAAACAAATCGTGACTCGCTGCAATAGGTGTAGAATCAAGGTCCAATGCATGCGAGTTTCGTGGTGCTGACAATGATCAACGGTGCAGGTCCAGGTAGCTGGAAAGATTTGTACTAGTTCAGGCTCGAGTGTATGTGCCACGGCTGTATATGGCACACCTGTCGAATCGAGATCGTGATAACTGCGGCTCTGGTTTTTTATTTTCCTTTTTACATTTCCGCTTTAAGAGGAGATGAGGTGGACTGCTATATGTTGCGAGAAACGAGCGCTTCACGATGTGTATCAGCATGAACTGCAACTGTCAATGGGCGGATGGGACTTTTGAAAGCTCAGCACTAATTCAGGCTGGAGCATGAGAGTGTAGGCGCCGGTGGTTCATGGCTGTACTCGTCGGGGTTTTACCAAGTCGATCTCGTCTTATACGCCGGGCCGGGGTTTCGATTTCCCGCTGGTGCATGTTCTTCCAGTGGTTTTTTTTCCCATCTCGACTCGATGCTAAGAAGGCGACCCAATAACGCGGGGAGGTAGGGGTCGCCGGGAACTAAGGTTGGCTAAAATTATGATTATATTTTATTATATTTCATTATAATCTTAAAATTATGATTAAATATCCCGTGGCCATAATTTTAAGCTGTAAGATTACTGAGGATTATATTAGATTACAGTACGATTATATTATGATATGACCCTGGTATTTAATCATAATATTAAGACCTGGCTGAGTTTGGGGAATCTATAGATTGCAGTCATATTTAGCAGGGTGTACCACCCCCCAGTGGGATTACGCTCTCAGATATGCTCAGTACCTCATAGACTGCACATTTTGACCAAAGTATACCAAGGTATTCTGATGTTTGATCCATAATCGATGACATACATAGCCCATATGATATTGCTTCACGTTACAACAAAATCAATTTTCAAGTCAAGACATATGTTGAATTCATGTCAGTCACCCTGAACTATCAGAAATGGTTGCACCACTTCAGAATCAATAAAACTCACTGCTAGCCCCAATCAGACTATCAAAGAATGTGGTGTAATACTGGGAAAAAACACAAGCAGAGCCAGAGCTTTGCACCAGTCTTTGCTGCTCACTTGTGGAACAAAATACAATGAATTTAGTGTCAAACTTGTCCTTGCAGAAGGTGCAAAATTTAGGGGGCAAAAAATGGATTAAAATGGATTAAATACAATTAAATATGATTAAACTGCAATTACATTAGATTATGATACCATTATGATTAGATATGGGCCAAAACCTTAAGATTATATTACGATTACAGTACATTACAGCTAGAGACCATATTTAATCATAATGTTCCAGCCTTCCTGGGAACTCGATGATTCAGAACAATGCACAGAATTTAAAGGTGGAGGCGGTCACATTGATCGATCGAAGCACAGGTTGCTTCTCGACAGGTGGATGCGCAAGAAGACAATTTTTTGTATACTTGATACTAGGTCAAAGGTGGAAAGACGTGCACTAATCCAGGAGGGAGTACGATGGTATAAGCACCGGTTGTGTAGGGTTTGCACACGCCGCCCAAATGTTGAACACGCCACCTTGCTGAACGGCGAATTGGGGTTCGATTCCCCACCGGTGCATATCGCGCATGTGAAGACTTTTTTTTCTTGGTTTTGTGTTGGGAGTTAGTCTGTGTCGATAGCCGTCGGCACGCAGCACGTTTAATTTCGAGTTCGTCCCCATCAGCCTCCACTAGACTCTTCGAGTGTTGGGTCCCTACATAGCTAGCGCACGTGCCCGTGATCGGAAGTCGTTGAATAATTGGTCGACTCCCTGCTGTCATGCTATTTCTTCCTCTAGTGGTAGGGGGACAGAGCTACGGCGGGCGAACAGCACGCAGGCGGTGCGTCTCTGCGCCTCATAAGCTTGAGTTTTATTTCTTGGCAGAGACAGCGGGATTGAGTCACCGGGACACGGACCGAGTCAACCGACTAGGATCATCGGATCACATGAGCGAGGCGACTTTTTTTTCCTCCGCTCCAGTCCAAAGAAGGCTCGCTCGCTCTCTGCACGATGGATTCGAGCGAAGGAGACTCGTTGCTGCCGGTGCCCACCGATGCGCTGCGGGTCGCGATTGTGGCTGGTGTGCCTCCTCTCCAATATTTCCTCGCCGCCCTCCGCGAATTCGCGCCGCACGCCATCCACCTCATCGACCCCATCTGGCTCGGCGTCCAAGGCCTGTGACGAGCCACCATACTAACCTTCCCACTTACGCGACTGTGTTCGGGTACCCGTATTACCACTTCCGCACGTGGGCCGCGCATGTGTTTGCACAGTTTTGCGCGGTACACGCTCGTTCCGAGCCGGAGCACGGCGAGTCTGCTTGCGGAAAAGGGGTTTGCCAATTTAAGGGTCTTGGGCCGAGGAGTTGACGACGCGGTGTTTCATGTGCGTATATGGCCTCTATTTCATTCCACCTGGTTAATTCTACAGCCCTCGTTCCGCTCGCAAGCCCTCCGCGCGTCGTGGAGCGCGCGCTCCGAGGACGTCGTCGTCCTCTCCGTCGGTCGCCTCTCGCCCGAGATGAATCTGGGGTTCCTCGTGCACGCGTATGCGGCGCTCCTTTCCATCTTACCCTCTCCGCACACGGACGCGCCTCGCACGCACCTCGTATTCGTCGGCGACGGGCCCATCCGTGCCTCTCTGTGAGCCCTCTGCGTCGCGCTCAGCGTCCCCGCTATATTCACCGGCCAGCTCACGGGCAGGCCCCTCAGCGAAACCTTTGCGAGTGCGGATATGAGGTACGTGCGCCCCACTTTTTTTCGTTCGTTCGAGATCGAGGTCTAGTCCGTTCCGTTGCATTTCTGTATACGGTGAACGTCTGCGCTGCATACTGGGAATGCGCGCGCGCGTACGGGAATGCCTGCGCGTCGCGTGGCACAAGCTTAGGCGAGCGAGGCGCTCTGCGCTTTGGGACGTCCGTAGCAGTTCTCTACGCTGGGGGGGGGGGGGGGGGGGGATTGTCCTCCTCTGGTTTGAAGGGTGGAGTGTGGCGTGGCTCTCCCCTCTCTCTCGCGGCTATGTATGCGGGTCTGTGTTCGACGCGGACTGGGCGTGGGCGCGGTATCGCGGGAGGGTGGCATGTCGATGCCGTCGTATCGCATCCCATCCTACCGTCATGCACGGACGTCTCGGGAGGGGAAGGGAGCACCATATTGGAGACCACACTACGCTATCTGCGATCCGACTTCATATCGCACTCGCGTTCATATTTCTTTGCGATCGTTTGTACCTCTTCACGCGTTTATATTGATACCTGTGTTCATCCCCCATGCGCTGTTCTCGGTCTCGGCTGGCCACGTATATGTGTATGCGACACG